TACTGTGTTTTTTTTTTAGTAATTTGTTTGTTTGCTGTGACAGCAACTGTTATGGCAGCTTTTGACAAAGGTTGAAGTTTCTCAAATGTAAGTCAAACTCCAAGGTCAAGGTCAAAGGGTCAAAATTGTTGGTATCAAAGGGAAAGTCTTGTCACAAGGAATACACATGTGAAAAAAGAGAGAAATCCCTAGAACTTCCTCACCTGTTCAAAAGTTATTGCCAAGGTTAAAGTTAAATTGGGTTCAACTCTAAGGTCTAGGTCAAAAATAATTATACCTGTTGAAAGTTCACAATGATTACACATGTTAGAGCATGAAAGTCCTAGCACCACCTGTTCAAAACTTAGGCCAAGTTTAAGGTATTTTTCTTGTAAAAGTGGGTCAAACTCCAAGGTCAAGAGATCAAGAGGTCAAAATTGGTGGTACCCATTAAAAGGTTTTGCCAAAAGAAATTTACCTATGAAATATTGAAGCCATGTGTATAGCTCAATCCACTTAAAACTTATGGGCAAGGTTAAAGTTTCTTTGGACAGACAAACATACATAAACATAGGAAACAAAATATGTATATATAGTCAAATGAAAAAATTTTCTACTATTATGGAGTCATAAGATCAATTGTCATTTCAGGTACAGGGAGTCAGTGGCTAGGGAGATCAGACCGCCCCCCCCCCCCCCGGAATTAGCAGTTACAGTTAATTCTCGATAAACCGCCACCTTTTGTAATTTAGAAATCATGGCGGTATATTTGGCGATGAATTGAATTTTCCATCTTTTAGGAAATAAGATGTAGAGTTATCGTTCTTAGAAATACCAGTTAGCGTTTCTATTCTTATTATTACATATACAGGTATATATAAACATATTTCTAAATTTGATAATACTTCAAGTAATTTTTTAATGTACAATTTCGCTAAAACAGAATATTCAGTTATGAAATAAGGACAAGTTCAAGTGTATACATGTAAATCTGCACGTCTGATATTGAAAAAAATAATGCTGGGTCGATCGTCGTGATATATTGCCTATAATACGTAAAATGAGTTCTTGAATAAATTGATTGTTTATGACATCATTGTTAATGAAACGTTCACAATATCTGACTTATAATTATTTTTTTTAGCAAACTTTGCATTGTTTTCAAAAACAGAGATCATCAAATTAATATCGTTATTGGCGTAGTTTACAACGACCGCTTTCGTGGCGAAGCCTTCACTACATGATTTTATTAAACAGAAAACAAAATTATTCAAACAGTTCAATTTAAAATTATTGTTTACTTAATTGCATATACCTTGACTGGCTATACAACAGGGATAGCGTCAACCAATTAGCCGCGCTTCACTGACCACATCCACCTGTGGCGGTATTATCGAGATAATTGACACTTAAAAATGGACGTTTGTTGTGAAAACAGGGTGGCGGATGGCGGTATGCGAATTTGGCGTTATAAAGAGAATTTTATATAGCAGGAAAAACGTTCTTGGGAAATCATGGCGGTATTGCGAAAATGGCGATGAATCGAATGGCGATAATTCGAGAATTGACTGTATTTAAATAAGACTATATACTGTAGAGAATAAAAATGACTTTGGACATCCTCCCCCTTAGAAAACAGGGACTCCACCATCATTGTTTTTATTATTATTTTTTATTTGCTTCTCAGGAAATCTTGGGCTGATTTTTTTGACTGAGGTGTGACCCCCCCCCCCCTTTCTGAAAAAAAAAAATTCTGGATCTGCGCCTGTATATACTGAATGTCCGCAACGGGAGATAACTTGACAATGTGAAATTTGTCAACTGTGGCATGCGATGATCTTTGACCCTTTTTGAACTTCAACCTAACCATTTGCATTTATTTATTTTTATGCAATCTATACTAAATCTTGTACTTACCGAATGTCAGGTCGTGACAACGAATTCATGAAATATAATCCATATAATCCAATTAAAACACAAATGATTTTAACTGACCACACTGCATCGTCAGCAAACATGTGCTAAATAATCTCATTCGACAAACCTTTGCTGATTCCGTTGCCAGTATGAATCGGCCGAGGTGTGCCGAGAGGTGATATCTATAAATATGATAATGGGTGACGCAAACCCAATGTGAACGTAGAAAATAAGATGTTCACAAGTAAAACTGTTTAGTACAAGAACAAATTTCAAACTATCATAATAAACTATTTTTTAACATAACTTTGCCATCTAGGTCTATTTTTAAAAAATGTGAGAGTGAGAGTGTGTGTGTGTGTGTGGGGGGGGGGGGGGGGGGGGCGAGAGAGAGAGAGAGATAGGCATTGACAAATTAATCGGGTTGTATTTTCAATGGGTTTTTTTCCTGACCAAGTACTAAAATCAGTTTGCATATTTTGATAAATTCATCAAAAACGCATTGTACTAAAATAATATTTTATGTCGTTGAGAAAGTAAATTTAAAAAGTTCCAAATTATGGGCAAAATATTTATCTGAATCTAATTAAGTAATTTACTTCAATCATTAATCAAATTCTGTCATTTCAAACTGGTAATGAATTAAGTATTCAAAATACATATATGAGGCTCATAGATCATATGGTCACCTGAAAATTTTATGTTCAATTTGACGAATACATGTACGGTGATAATTATAGAATTATTTTGACTTCTTCCTTGGAAAGTCCAATATGAAGGAGTGTGTATTTAGAGGCAAACACCATAGTGCGGGTATTACTGTCTCATGACAGCATCTAGTTGATGTTTTGTTTTTCTGCTATTTTAATTAAAAAATTTTTTATCTATAATAGTTCATAATTTTTGTTTTAAAACATCAGTCTGATTAAATTTTGTTGCGTGAGTAATAATAGATAATTTTTATGCGCCCGGATGGAAAGATCCGAGACGTATATTGTTTTTGTCCTGTCTGTCTGTTTATCTGTTTGTCTGCAAACTTTAACCTTCGCCATAACTTTTGAATAATAAATGGAAGAGACTTCATATTTGGTAGGCATACTCCACTAATTAAGCTCTTTAAAATGAAAACAAGGTCAATGACCTTGTGACCTACCGGTATATGCTAAAAATGGTTTTTTCTGCAAACTTTAACCTTCGCCATAACTTTTGAACCATAAAAGATAGAGAGTTCATATTTGGTATGCATACACCAATGATTAAGCTCTTTTAAATGACATCATGGTCATGATCTTGTGACCTTGACTGTGACATACACGCTAAATATAGCCTTTTGTCGGCAAACTTTAACCTTCGCCATAACTTTTGAACGAAGAAAGATAGAGACTTAATATTTGGTATGCATACTCAACTAATTAAGCCCTTTCACTTGACGCCAAGGTCAATGACCTTGTGACGTTGACTGTGGCCTTTATGCTAAAAATAGCTTTTTGAACCTTCACCATAACATTTGAACTATGAGAGATAGAGACTTCATATTTGGTATGCATACTTCATTCATCGAGTTCTTTCAAATGACACCAAGATCAATGACCTTGTGATCTTGACTGAGTCCTATAAGCTAAAAATATGTTTTTTTAACTTTGTTGCCGCCGGGCGCAGAGTGTTTCACAAACACATCTTGTTTTGTGCTATATTAATTCAAAGAAGAAGGTACAGTTTCAATACAAATTATGCCCTATATTTTTATAAAATATGAAAGTGATATAAGAAATTAAAATTAATTCTTTCTGAATCAAAGGGATTCTCTGCCGTAAGAATGCACAAATGGTTTTTATCATATGACCTCCTAAATGCCAATTGTGACGTCATTAACTTGAGCATTTTCCCGTATTTTCTTAAAAAGTTGCAGAAAACCTCACTTTCATTGGAATTTTCTCTCAAAAATCATACTCTGCCACCGTCGCCAGGGAAGATTTTGAGATATGTGATTTTTCATAGCTGTTTGCATAATATATGCAAAAATTAAAGCAGGCAACGGTGGCAGACACTAATTTCTAAAGGAAAATTAGCAGAAAAACAAGTCATTTTGAAACTTTTCTGCATTAAACTTAAAAATGTACCAAATTAATGACGTCATATTTTCAAGAAAGGCTCTTCTTCATGCCATATTCTTTAATGAATTATCATATTCATCTACTCAACTATTGTTAAAGCCAATTCCATAACTTTTTAAGAGCATTAAATTTAAGGGCACAATAAAGCTTAAACCGTACCGTCTTCTTTTATGCCCTGTTCACACGGACAGTTTAATTCGCAGTAAATTAATGCGAAGTAAACTAAAAAAACGAATTAAAATAATGCGAATTAAATTGCGTTCACACGAAAGCTAAAGCGAAGTAAACTAATGCGAATTAAAATTTCATTTCTACAAAAGGCTATTCAGTAAGGCTATTATGACTGCATTTATAAATCACGTCATGTATGCAGAGCCATCCATTTGATAATATTTACATTCTGTGTATTTTTCTTCATAAAATCCATTACAAATCCACGGCGTTCAAATCTTATAACACACGCGAAACCTTGTCACCGCGCGGTAGAATACACAATGGAAACTATATCATTTTAAATACTTTAGGAACACCAAAATGTACATTGTTTTGACACAATTTAATGGAAAAAAATAAACCCTGTTAAATTAACGTGAATATATATATATATATATATATATATATATATATATATATATATATATATATATATATATATATATATATATAAAGCACTAAAAATGACCAACGACACGAACAATAAAAATTGTCAAATTTTCGGGACGCCCTTTCCATTCCTCAGGACAAAGAAAAAAGTTAAAAAGTCATAAGAACAAAGGAAAAAGAGACACAAAAACAACTAGCTGCTATATCATTTTTCTTTGATTATTCTTTATCAAGTATAGTTACGCCATTTTGAGAGAATGAAACAATATACGACTTACTGATTGTCGTAATTAATTAGTATAATTAATTCGTTCAATTATGTAAATCGCACTTCACCCGAGTATACCCGATAGACCGGATGTATTTCATAGCGGTCCGGTTTTCTTT